AGAGTACTCGCTTTGTATGTGTTTGCGAGATGGAAGAACATACATGGCTATTCAAATCTCCTTTGTCCTAGGATATCTCAGTTAGGTAAGTTCTTTTACTGGATGGCCAGTAGAACTCCTAGACTCCCCACAAAAGTCAACAGAAGAGATAACAATTATTTTTATATTTTCATACCATGCAAGTTGGGACTAGGATTCTAGCCTTCAACTGGCCTACAACTCTAGATATCATTCTGCCTGAAAATATGTCAAGTTGCAATATTCCTACAGAGTATAGCCTGGAATGTGTACAGTACAGTTGAGAGACTGACTCAGTACTTCAATCTCCTCTGTTGACCTCAGCCAGTGAGGAAATTTCCTCAGGGACATGCAGCCTGAATGAAATAATATGTTGTTGTTGTTTACATAGCATGAAGAGTCTTTCTTGCCCCAGTTCACTACATCCAAGGGCTTATAAGAAGGGTGCTTTATCACGTAATCTTCTAGACTAGGAATATGGGCTATTACTACATAAGTTTAAATGCAGGAAAAAGCACCAGTTGGGTGAAGGTGTGTTGTTCATAGAGGAATCCTCCCAAATACCTGTTTCTAAGGCAAGATTTTTTTTTAATGTTGTTCAGTAACAGTTGTCCCCATTTCCCCCCTGCCCTGTTACGCTTCCCTGCCCAACCCACCCAGCATCCCACATTTAGTTCCTCCCATCTGCCTCCCAAAGACACCCTTGTCTTTGTCCTTGGGTCATTTTCACATGTTCCTTGACTTGACCCTTCCCTAAGGCAAGATCTTTAAAAAACAGAGATAATTAATTCCTGGGAGGGCATAGCCTTAGGTACATAGATAGGTCCTTTAATGCTGTCAGCATCCCCTCGGTATGCTAAAAAAGAAGGTGCTTTCTTATTTCAAGAGCAGAATAAGAGGGGTTGGTTATTAGGTGATAGAAATGTTTGTGCCACTTGTTCTATAACTAGAGCTAGCTGCTGAAGATCTGAAGTTCCCCTTAGTACCTGAGGTCTTAGGGTTTCAAATTCAACATCTCGTTTTTTCCTTTGACTTGAATTTTTAAGGCATTAGTGCTTTAAAAATGCTTGATGAATCCATTTGGACAAATTTGTGTCATTTTGGTATTATTTGCTTCCTGTAATATTTGCGTCCAGTCAGTAGGGGCTTGAAAAATATCCATTACACAGCATTATGTTTAGACAGCTACATATATAGTTATTTCTTACTTATAAATACACTGGGCATTCTCTTTAACTACAGAGGCAACCATGGTAAGTTAACCAGAATTGCTTATTTTCAATCCAGGTTTCACATTTCTATTTCCTGCCAAGAGGTTTATAATTAAGATAATTGATGCATGACTTTCTGACATTTGATGGGGATCACTTTGAGATGTTTTAGGATATTTTGCAGAAATATTTGCTATTCTCACTGTACATGACTATATCTATATACTCAGGGACAGATTTACAGTGTGTGGATCCCTGAATGAATTTCCAGGCTTGGGAGTATGAGACACTGTAGTAGTGCAGCAGGGTAGAGCTTGACAGGTCACCAAAGGTTTCCTCCAGGGGTAGGAGATGTGATGTGATGGTTTGTATAGTCCGGGACTGATCACTCATGTCCTTGAAACAGGGCTCTGACTTTGATAATTTATAGGCATGAAAGGGGGGGACCCGTCTTGTACTGATAGGAAGAAATATGAGAAACCAATGAAGAAATGTGGGAAACAATATGAGAAGAAAGAAGAAAAATTTGAGGTGAAGCTGAGACAGGGAGTGTGACCTTCACTGTGGTCAAGACATGTTAGTATGGTATTCTATCATGTAAATGTGCCATGGTTTTTTGATCCAATCATTTACTGATGGGCACTTAAGCTGCTTCTAGTACTTGGTCATTATAAATTGTGGTGCTCTGAACACTGGGGTGTATAAGTTCCTTTGAATTGGTGTTTCAAGGTTCTTTGGGTATAATCCTAGCAGTGGAACAGCTGGGTCAAAAGATAGTTCCATTTGTAGTTTTCTGAGGAAATTCCATACTGTTTTCCTTACTGGAAACGGTATGGAATGGCGACATATCAGTGAAAATATTGCCACATGGAATATCTGAGATTTTCCTGCCTATGTTATCCTCTAGGACTTTTATGGTTTCATGACTTATATTTGTCTTTTATTCATGTTGAATTTATTTTTGCTCATGGTGTAAGTTGGTGATCAACTTACATGTAGCTGTCCAGATGTCCCAACACCATTTGTTGAAAAGGCTATTTTTACTCCATTTTATGTTTCTGCCTCGGGTTGAATATTAAATGACCATAGAGACCTGGATTAAGTTTTGGGCTTTCTATTCTGTTCCATTGGTCTGTGTGTTTGTTCTTAAATTGTTTGTTCTTAAATGGTGAAATACTACACAGCAAAAAGAAAGAATGAGCTCCTACCCTTTGCAACAGCATAGATAGATCTAGAGAGCATTATGCTAAGTGAGATAAGCTAGAAGGTAAAAGGTAAATATCATATGATCTCACCCATAAGTGGAACATAATCAACAAAACAAACAAGCAAGCAAAATATAACCAGGCACATTGAAATTAAGAACAAATTGACAGTAACCTGAGGGGAGGTGGAAGGGGATAATGGAGGTAAAGGGGGAAAGGTTTCTGAGAATATCTATAAAGGATACATGGATGAAACCAAAGAAGGTGGGTTTCATCTTTGGATGAAACCAAAGGATCAAGGGTGGGAAGTGAGCATGGCTTGGGGGTGGGAATTGAAACAACTGTATTTGAATAACCATAAAAAATGTGAAAAAAAGGAATTAAAAAAGAAATAATAAAAAAGACATGTTAGCATGGGACAGAGGAAAAGGACATTTGCATTTTATTTTTCAAAGGAAATTTTTGGCTCTAGAACTGAGATCTGTAAGAAGAATGTATTAAAATACGAGATCTGTGAGGAAATGCAGTACCTTCTGCTATGGTTGTGAATGTGTATTAAACTTCAGGCCCAGGGACGCTTTTCATTCTGACTGTACTCAAACTTTCTTGGATCTGTTCTAAACAGTAAGACCTTATTTCTGCTACATAGATTGTAGTCCCAACAATATAGCTGAATTTCTGCATCCATGAATTGAGCCCCCTTTTAGAGAATCAAGAAAATTATTGCTAAAGATAAGAGATGAAAGTCAATTCAATTTGCCACCATAGGGTGATTTTTTTCTTGTATACAGCTTGTCTTAAGGCATCATAAGAAAGGCAAGGTGTGGTGGTGGGAAAAAAATTAGTGTGTTGAACATTAGAAGATTTGTATCCTTGCTGTGATCTGATATAATCAATTAGCTGCATTTCCTTGGACTTTACTTCTCTGGGCCTTGGTCTCCTTATCTTTAAAGAGTGTATTTAAAGAGTTGATGAAAATGTGAGGTTCCAAAGGATTTCTAAGGTACAACAACTCTAGGGTCTTGTCTGGTGGGTCCTCAAACTCATTAGTATGTGACAGGTTAGCAAAAGCACTGCCATGAATTTCATGTTGGTCACAGACATGGTGTTAGGTATCAAGTGACTTGTCCAAACTCTGAGATGGCTGATTCCTAGAGGCAGACAGGCTCTATACTGGAGATGTCCTAATGTTAAAGACCTAGAGACAGACATTCTGGATTTGAGTACAGGTTCCTCTATTTCCTTTTATCATTATGACTTTGGGCAAGTTGTTTATTTTCTCCTACTCACAGTTTGCTTTTCTTTAAAATATAGATAACAGTGTACCAATCATAAAGCACTGTCATGAAGATTAAGTGAAATAATGCATGTAAAGTACTTAGTATAGTGTTTAGTAAAGAGGAAACACTCCACAAAAACTATCACATTGTGTAAAAATAAATTTCTGCATGCTATGAAGAAGGGTGAAAGCAGAGTTATAATGAAACTTTACATTTCAAAGTATCTGAACACGTGAAATTTAAGCACTAATGGAGGTTTCTATGCTTGGAAGTTTGTCTGCTTAGGTCTTTGCCTTTTCAATTTGTGGGCCTTGTTATGAAAGACCAAGGTCCTTCAGGTAAATTAACATTTTCTCTGCTGCTCATTTCTTTGAAAATACGAGTATTAGAAAGTTTGAGTGGTAATAGGCACACTGATGGTCTTTGAACCAGGGCAGAAAAAGAACTGATTCTGTGCTTGAGCCTCTCAATTAACAGAAGGCATCAAAGACATCAATTTTGACATGAGACCAAGCTGTTTTTCTGTGATGTGGGACAAAAGGAGGCAGATGGAAGCTGTAGAAGGGAAGTGTTTTACAATATGTCCTAAGTACTTCAAGGTTTGCAAGAAACTGAAGTAATAAAAGAATTAATGATGATGAGTAGGTCAAGTTTGTGTCTGATTTCGATTATGAAATCTAACCTTTGGCACAGATCTTACAGAATTTGTAGAAACATTTTAGTAGTCAGTTATTGGTTCTCTCAAGGGCTCTCTAGAGAAGAGGTGGCAATTAGCAGTGCACTCAACTTTCTTCTGTAGGGTTCCAGCCCCTGGAAGGATTCTTTGATGCAGTGGGATATCCAGAAGGGAGGCTGCTATACTGAGGCTGGGACTCTCAGGCTAGCTTCTCAATGAAGCACTTGTGGAATCATCTTAAAAAGGTTTCCTTCCCATGTAACTCATTATGTTCCTTGTCCATGTGTAACATGGACAGTTCATCTTACCCTTTACTGTGTGCTTTTGGAATACATTAAGATATAGAAAATAAAAGAACCTGATGTCCAGCAAAAAGTGAGAATGAATGATGACAGAATCTAGTTTTAAATACTACTTGGAAGTGGAATTAAATGATATGTGTATTCTTCATCAAGTAAATGTTAATAGACTTTGCATTAACCTTATCTGGTTGATTATTTGGAGTTGGCATATTGAATATCAGCATCAATGGTTTAAGTTCCTTTTTTCTTCTTTCTTTTTAGAGGTAAAGCATTTCTTCCTGGAGTTTTTAATCACACATACTATGAAGATGGAGAATAAAAGGAATGTGACTGAATTCATTTTAACAGGTCTTACACAGAACCCCCAAATGCAGAAAGTAGTGTTTCTGTTATTTTTGGTTCTATACTTGGTAACACTCTCAGGCAACCTGCTCATTGTGGTTACCATTACTACCAGCCAGGCTCTGAACTCCCCCATGTACTTTTTTCTGACCCACCTTTCCTGGATAGACATAATCTATTCTTCTTCTTCAGCTCCTAAGATGATCATGGACTCCCTTCATGAGAAGAAGGTAATCTCTTTCAATGGTTGCATGGCTCAAGTCTATGCAGAACACATTTTTGGTGGTACTGAGGTCATTCTGCTGACAGTGATGGCCTATGACCGCTATGTTGCCATTTGCAAACCTCTGCACTATACCACCATCATGAGCCACAGGCAATGTGCTTTCCTTCTGGGAGTGTCCTGGGCTGGAGGATTTCTCCATGCAACTATTCAGATCCTCTTCATAGTATGGCTACCCTTCTGTGGCCCCAATAGGATTGATCACTTCATGTGTGACTTGTACCCTTTGTTGAAACTGGTCTGCATGGACACTCACTCTCTTGGTCTCTTTGTTGCTGCCAACAGTGGGTTCATTTGCTTATTAAACTTTCTCCTTTTGATGGTCTCCTATGTGGTCATCTTGCACTCCCTAAAGAACCATAGCTTACAGGGGAGGCGCAAAGCCCTCTCCACCTGTGTCTCTCACATCACTGTAGTCATCTTACTTTTTGTGCCCTGCATATTTGTGTACCTGCGTCCAGTAACCACGCTGCCCATGGATAAAGCTGTTGCTGTCTTTTACACGATGGTGGGCCCTATGTTAAATCCCTTAATCTACACCCTCAGAAATGCTGAGGTGAAAAATGCTATGAGGAAGCTCTGGAGGACAAAAGTGACTATAGAAAAAGATTAAATAGAATCATTGAGCATTATAGATAGAAGTAATAGAGAGAATCCAGTTCAAGCCTGTTAGATCTGTAGACGAAACCATTGACTGTAAGAAGAAGTTGGGTAGTACTTGCCGATAGCCATTTAAGCACAGAGTCAAAAGTTAGACTGGAATCCAGACTTACTGTCTCCCAACTGTCTTTTATCAGCATAATTTACTGCTTCTTAACAGATAAATAATGGTATATTACCTGGAAATTTGAAGTATCTTTAGAAGCTAAAAGGTATGGATCTAGAGTATTGGATTGGTGTTAAAATAATCTTATTATATAATATTGAGATGTGGGTTCCCAGTGGGATTCCAATCTTTTGGGAAAGGTGTAGTTGTTTCTCAGTGGGTGGGGAAGTTCAATGGGTTGCCTTAAGCCAGAACTAGTTTATGGTACCTAGACAAAGACTGATAGTCTAGAAAGGGACTGGCAAGCTGGGAGAGACTCACTGGAGTGCTGGTGGGTTGAGGCTGGTGAATAAGAAACTGTGGACTGGACTGGCAAGCAGGAAAGAACCCTTTGGGGTACAGGTGGACCAATGCTCTAGTCATTCATTGTCTGCTGCTGAGTCCTAGGATGGTAAGGCTGTGAGCTGCTGGCAGCCCAAGATCACAGCAGCAGGTCACAAGGGAGCACTGGCCCAGTGAAAGGGCCTGGAGCTGGACACAGCAGTGTTCACCAAACTCTGCTTCCTCACTGTTGCCACCAGAGCTCAAGCCTCCATTCTCTCCCATCCAGATCACTACAGTAACCTCCTAACTGTGCTCCTGTTGGTTGTCTTGTCCTCTTCAATCCACTTCCCATACTGTAACTAGAGTTATTGTCCTAAAACTAAAATCTATCTATATCACTCACTGTGAAAAACAGTATGGAGTTGCCTCAAAAAACTAAAAATGGAACTGCTGTTTGACTGAGGGATTCCACTTCTGGGAATACATCCTAAGAAATCAGAAACACCAATCAGAAAGAATATATGCACCTGTATGTTTGTAACAGCATTATCTACAATAGTCAAGATTTGGAAGGAGCCTAAGTGCCCATCGGTAGATGGGTGGATTAAAAAGCTGTGGTACATTTACACAATGGGATACTACTACTCAGCCATAGAAAAGAATGAAATATTTATTTCCCCTTGCAACAGGATGGATGGACCTGGAGATCATTGTGCTAAGTGAAACAAGCCAGTCAGAGGAAGATATATACTGTATAATTGCACTCATATGTGGAATCTAATGAGCAAAATAAAACTAGAGGCATAGATATGTGGTGGACTCCGACCAGCAGAGTCTGCCTGTTGTGACTGAAGACAAGAATAAATGCACAGGCTACAGCAATCCTGTGGAGGAAACGGGGACGGCACAGCCGCTCTCTTGCCTAGATAGGCTTTTATTGTTTTAGTAAAGTTGCATCAAAGAAGTATTTATTATCTATTACAGAGAATATTATTGTCTACATTTTAGGTACAATTAAGAAAATGAAAATATCATATGCAGAAGGGAAAGGTGGCGAGCTGATTAACTCTGTTCTTGGGAAAAGTCACACAGTCTTTGAAAATTACCTTGAACATAGAAAATACACATTTATTGTTTTAGACCAGGGTGATGGAATTTTAGCAAGAGTAAGCCATAAAAGTCTGTATACATTTTCTAGGCCTGATTCCCAGAGGAATAGTCGGTTTGAAGGTCTGGCTCCAGTCTACCACCTTGCTTCTGTAAGTTTTTCATACAGAGGTGAGTCACATCTGCCAGGCCAAAACAAGCCAGTTCCTTACAGAGATAGATGGCAAGGACTACAGATTTCAGAAGGGAGAGATTGGGAGGAGCTGGAAGAAATTATTCAAAGAACATATATGCATATATGCATAACCCATGGACACAGAAAACAATGTTGTGAAGACTGGGTGGGAGGTCGGTGGTGGGGGGCAAAGGGGAGAAATACAGGATATCTGTAACAGTGTCAACAATAAAAAAGGACTTTTGATCAAGATGGAGACATATGTAAACACAAGTTGACTCCTTGCACAACCACAGCAAAATTATAACTAAACTACAGAACAACTATCACTCAGAACCATCACAAAATCAAGTTTTATGGAAATCTGATAACTAAAGAATTAAAAATGTCACATTCATCCAGAGAGGTAGGAGGAGTAAAAGGCACAGAGGTAGAGATGTGGAGTCATGGAATGGGCTGGTCCCACATCCATGTGTGGTGGATAAAAATTGGGAGAGATATCCAGGGAATGAAGGATCCCACCCCTACACTGGACCACCAGGCCCAGTGTTCAGGTGTCAGGAAGATAAGCCCCCATAACTTCTGTGTGTAAAAATTAGTGGGGATTGGGTTGGCGGAAGAAACTGTGGGATTCTTAGCAATCTCCTTTTAAAGAGACCCACACACAGACTTACTCAGACTCATTCCCTATGGGCTCCAGCATGAGGGCAACAGCTTGAGGGCACTATTAGCATACAAGGAGGGACTGAAGCATCAGGGCAAGAGCTGGGGGACAGCTTTCTCCCAGACAGAACTGTAGGAGTGACCATTGTTTTATTACTGAGCCCTTTCACTCCCCTGGCCCAGAGCCACAGTGTGGTGGCACTATATCCAAGACTCCATCAACCTAGTTCATACAGTTTTCCCTACCCAGGTGATTACTTAAGGTTCTGTCTCATCCAACTTAGGGGCTCACCCAAGGTGTTTACAGTGGCTTTTCCATAGGAGTGGTTTGACTTGGTGTAGGCTTCAGAGCTTCCTGAATCTGATCAAATTAGCAACAGCTGAGTCCAGCCCCTGTGCCTCTTGCTAAGTGGCCCCAGGCCTGGCTCTAGTAGAAGCCACCTGCAGATCACTTTATTGCTTAGGCCAAGAGGCCCCAGACAAAACACAGGTGGTGACTGACCTTGGCCTGCACCACCTAGGAAACCCCAGAGCCTGTGAACCCAGTGGACAATTACAGACCACATCAGAGCACCACTACTCAACCACCTCCAAAAGACATGGAGGGAGGTGATTGGTGGCCAGTGGTCACAGCCAGTCCTAAAGATGACTGGCCTGGATAAGTCCATCTCACTGACCTGCTGCCAGCAATCAGGACTCAACTACAAGAGGAAGGAGTACATAGCCCACACAGAGGGTATGCCTCAAGTACCCAGCTTGGGTGACAGGACAAGTCTGTGCCATTGTACCTTAAAGGATACCTATTATGTTAGGCCACACTACCAAGACAGGGAAACAATACAGCTCTACCTAATACATAGAAACAAACACAGGGGAGCTGCCAAAATGAGGAGACAAAGAAATATGGCCCAAGTAAAAGAACAGATCAAAATTCCAGAAAAAGAATTAAATAAAATGGGGATAAGCAATATATCAGATGCAGGGTTCAAAACACTGGTTATAAGGATGCTTAAGGAACTCAGTGGGCGTTTCAGAAGCATAAAAATGATCCAATCAGAAATGAAGGATGCATTAACTGAAATAAAGAACAATTTACAGGGAATCAACAGTAGAGTAGAGAAGCCCAGAGTCAAATAAATTTTTTGGAACATAAGGAAGCAAAAGATATCTAATCAGAATAGCAAGAAAAAAAGAGAATCTAAAAACGCAAGGATAGTGTCAGAAGCCTCTGGGACAACTACAAGCATTCCAGCTTTCACATCATAGGTGTGCCAGAAGGAGAAGAGAAAGAGCAAGAAATGTAAACTTATTTTAAAAAAAAAGAAAACTTCCCTAATTTGGTGAAGGAAATAAACATGCAAGTCCAGGAAGCACAGATAGTCCCAAACAAGATGGACACAAAGAGGACCACACCAAGACACATCATAATTAAAATGCCAAAGATTAAAGATAAAGAGAAAATTTCAAATGCAGCAAGAGAAAAAGAGATAGTTACCTACAAAGGCATTCCCAGAAGACTGTCAGATGATTTCTCAAATGAAACTTTGCAGGCTAGGAGGGATTAGTAAGAAGTATTTAAAGTGACGAAATGCAAGAACTGTCAACCAAGATTTCTCTACCCACCAAATCTATCTTTTAGAATAGAAGGGCAGATAAAGTGCTTCCCAGATAAAGCTAAAGGAGTTCATTATCACCAAACCATTATTATATGAAATGTTACATAGACTTATTTAAGAAAAAGATAAAAACTATGAACAATAAAATGGCAAAAACACATATTAATCAATGATTGAATCTAAAATATAAACTAAGCAAACAAACCAAACAAAAACAGAATCAGATACAGAGGCCAGTTGAGAGGGAGGTTTGGGGAAATGGGAGAAAAGGTGAAGGGATTAAGAAGTACAAATTGGTAGTTATAGAACAGGGAGGGGAATGTTAAGAGCAAGTGTTGGCAATGGAGTTGCCAAAGAACTTATATGAATGACCCATGGACAAGGACAAAGTTGGGGGGAGTAGCCGAATGGAGTGTTGGGCGCTGAGTAGAGGTAAAACTTGGAACAACTATAACAGCTTAATCAATACAATATAATAAAAAACATTAAACTGACTTTCAATGCTTTCTCCATAGTACTTAGCATGGAGGTTTAACATGATCATGGAACTCTTTTTGATCTCTATTATTATCTCTCCAGCTTCATGTCTTGCCATTTTCTCTTTTACAAACTCAATATCCAGCATGGTGCCCAGCACCCAACAGGAGGCTCAGTCAATAATTGTTTAATGAGAGGATGAATTAATTACCACAGCTATGCTGATTTGGTTAGGTTTCCCCACACATTCTTTTTCACTTCCTGGCCTTTGTTATATATTCCACTCCCTAGGACAGTCCTCCAACCTCATGTCTGTTCACTCTGCTTAACACTTCGTTGCATTTATTAAGTTCTGTTTTTGATGCTTTTTCATTATAAACCTTTTCCTGATCCAGCAGGTCTTTGTAGTGTGTCCCTCCAATGTAGTTTCATAGTACCCTGTGCCTCCATGATTTCATTATTGGTAACACTGTGTAATAATTTTC